AAAAAAAATAGAAAACAGAGTTTATTTCTAATCCTCTTGCCAGAGTGGAAAAGTGAAACACACACATGTAGCTCTTTGTTTTCTGTTTGTTAGGCCAGCTTTCTGTTTGCCTCTCTACGAGACCGTGACTACTTAACAAGACTTATATCTGACTTCCTGGCAAAAACTCCTGAGCCAAAGTGAGTTGAACTTTGAGATTCTTCAAGTTTTCAGGTGGTGTAAAGTACTTATTTTTGCAGTAAAAACATGGAGTCCAACATTAAGATTTCCAGATTTATATCTTGTGTTTCTGGTTGGAATTAATTTTTACTTAGATCAAATGACAAAGGGGGATGGATGTTCAGTACCAGCCCTAACACGAAGAAACCAACATTCCAGCCTCCACTTACCACAGTGTTCTCAAGCACCCCTGCTGATCACATCAATGCTAAGGAGACTGTCAAAGAGCATTTGTGGCGACTGCATTTTGCTGAGTATGGAAGGTAAGATAAGCATAGGCTTTGTAATCAGCTGTCAACTGAGCTAATTGGGTAGCAGAAAACATTGGAAAGGTGTCCAGTTAATGGGAGGTTAAAAATGTAGTGGTTGGTTGTGGCTAGGACCAATGATGACTCACATAGAATGGGTCTCCACTTACAGGTAAACAAAAATGTTGTTTTTGTATGTGATTGGGNGTCAAGGTCCAGTTTGGTTTTTTCCATACAAAATGAAAAAAAATACTTCCTCTATGAACTTGAAACGTTAAACATAATTTGCTTCCCCCACCCCTTAGGACTAAAAATGTAGAGAAGGTGGTAAAGAGGCATGTGATGTGATTTTTTCATGATTTTGTTAGTCTCAGTCAGTGATTTTGATTTTGATGTTTGGCCATTCGGTTGTAACAGGTCGCTTCCTGAACACCCTGCCTTTCAGTCTGAAGTAGGGATAGCCGCTCTACGAAGGGTGCTGACATCTTACGCCTGGAGGAATCCCAGCATAGGTTTGTGTTGCGGTAACATTATTTTGGCCCCTGGCCTTAACATTAACTCCTGGAATTCTTGGTGGCTTAGGACGAAATAAGGTGGCCTTTAATTTGCTCTAGTCTGACAAAGGAAAAATACCTTCTGTACTTTGATAAACGTTTCAACACTGTCGAAGCAGGGTAAAATCTGTAAGAGAAACATGTTTTTTTTGTGCATGCACTCTCCTTCTAGCACTTCACATACAACAGTCTATTGATTCCGATTGACCGCAGCTCTACCCTTGAAGAGACTGTGCCTCACAGGTCAGTTACCAGCAATGGTAGGTTAATGGTAGGTGGTAGGTGAGGTTAAACTAACTTCTATATCCCAATGCCTGGTCTAAGACTGGTGATAGTCTTAAACCTTAGTGAGGTCTCCTCCATCCAGTGGCCACTCAATTAGATACTGACGATCACTGCCTAAAAAGGTTTAATTTTATTTTTGTATGGCTATTTAAACAATCCTGTTTGTTGTGTATTCGATAGGGTATTGTCAAGCTATGAACATTGTTGCCTCAGTACTGTTGTTGTACTGCACTGAAGAGGAAGCCTTCTGGTTGTTAGTGGCGGTCTGTGAACGTCTCTTACCAGATTATTACAATACAAGAGTGGTTGGAGCGCTTGTTGATCAGGGTAAGTGCCTCTGTTTGTACTTCATTACCGTACTTAGTTTTTAATCCTAAAACATTTTAATCACTTTCTTTATGATATCAATGTGTATCTGTAACAGAATTAAGAGAGGGACCGAGGAACTCTTCCCCTAAAATTATTATATCCATTGACTGAAAATTTCATCATTCCACCCACCCACCCTCCATCCTTTGGCCCTCTTCACGTCACCCCACCCACTTCCTTTTGGACACCTTTGGATCCACCAATGCGTAGTCAGTGGAGACCTTTATGGAAAATCCTTGTAGTAATGTAAACTTTTAATCTACTATGTTTTGCCACGCTATGTTTGTCATAGGTTCGGTTTCCACCGCTTTCTCGCGTCCGGCTGCGTTCCTCCCCTCTTTTCGGGGAAAGAGCGGGGGCTCATGTCCCGAAACAGCGGCTGGTAATCGAGCCTATGTGTGCCGTGCAGAGCTTAAAAGTTTTACAGATCATACCATAAATCTTGCCACAAACGCATGACTAGAAACTTGACTAAAATTACACAAATCGTATGTCTCTTGGAATGAAAGTGGATCCTCTTTGAAGGTTGTTATTTATGAACTATTTTTTGTCATGAATTTGTTCCAATAAATATAAAATTTTAGTATAAATCTACTAGCGTTCTATCACGAATGCCGTTCCCTGATTGGCTACGTTACTCACTATCTATTCTGTGATAGATAGTGAGTAGCGTGGCAGTGTGCCCTTGTTAACAAAATMACGGCCGCTTCTTGGCGTTTTCGAAGTGTCTGTGAAGAKGATTTAGATAAAGGTTTGAACGACTAGTAGATTTTTYCTAAAACAATTAGATTATTCGCTCTCGATTTCTATGCGTGACAGTTGACTCGGGCTGTGCCCTCGTCAARTATCACGCGATAGAAATCGAGAGCGAATAATCTAATTGTTTAATAGAAAAAAATTAGTTGAGCATTACAGCATATCGATGCAGTGTAGTTGAAATTTCAGTTATAGTAATTTGGTCATGTTGTTTTTTCTCCTTAACAAGAGACTTTTGATGGAAACGTCAGTTTCTTGAAACTCCTTTCTTGTTTTATTAGGTGTTTTTGAGGACCTTACTCGTGATCACTTACCTGAGCTGTATGATCACCTGATGGAACTTGGAATACTTAACATGATATCACTGTCCTGGTTTTTAACTCTCTTCCTCAGGTAATTGCACGTCTGCCGTGTTATACTCTTGTATTATACGCCTGAAAATATTATTTCTTGGTATAGAATGTTTATAAATTGCAATTTTTGGTCCCTGTCATACAGGATTATTATTTTTCAAACTTGTCAATAATTCATTAAGTTTTTCAAAAAGGAGATATTAAACGTCACCGTTATTTCTCTCCTTTTCTCCTCAGTTTTAGCTTCAATTGAGAAGATATATCAAGAACGTGTCACAGTGTTTCATCAAATTTCCAAACACCTCAAGGGCTTGTCAAA